ACTCTTTTTTTTTAGGGGGCAAAACTTAATTTACAACCGATTTTTTTTTTTATTTTTAATTTAAACGATGTTTTTTTAACTACGATTCAATGTACATACGTAATAGATGCATACAAAATTAGCGGCTGAAGTAAATTAAAAGCGAGAAAATCATAAAAAAAATGTGATTAGACTAAGATTGATATCTGTTTTGTAACACTTAAAAAATTATGAATTTAATTTTCAAAACTTATATGTACATCAACATTTGAAGAAGTTATTTATGTATAAAAACAGCTTGCGATCCACATTAAAATTTGAATATCATGCGTATTCCACCACTTTCGTCTTTTTAAAGAAGACTCATATAAAACAATTATTTGTATAAAAAATTTTGATGAATTCGTCAGTAATGTCTGCGACTCTGCTTTTTTTTTACTTTTAGATTTTTTATAATTTACTTTCGGTTTTTTTTTCAATTTAAAATTGTTTTAAAGTCAAAAAATTCCAAAGTTCATGACAATCAATACATAAAGTGAAGAAGGAACATAATTGCAAACATATTAATAAACGCATATTTTCCGAAAAAAAGTGGTTTATAATAAGGTAATTAACAAGGGAGTTTCTGAGTCAATTAAAATAGTTTTTTAAACCATTTATATACATTAAGTAACTTTGATTGATTTTTTTATAAATTTCTTGTCATTGTACATTAAAAAAACTTGTTCTGAGAAAATATTTTCTTAATCGAAGCAAGTATTTTTTTCCATCATTATTGTTAATATTATGGTGATTATGTAATCAGAATTGACAAGTAGTGTAATTAGACAAAGCTCAGTTTTATTTATTTGTCGTATCTGTGTGTACACAGCGGCGTAGCGTTGTCCATAGACACCTGGGGCGGAACCATAATTTGCCACTCTTGTGACTGTATTAAAATATTATTATTATTACTACTGTTGATACTATTATTATTATTGTATGAGTTTGACTATTAAGGCTATTAGAGTTTTGGTCTTGATCTTGTACATGACATCTGTGTTGGTATATTGCGAATAAATATGTATATGTACACACGTATACTCGCACGTATTTATGATATTTTTAGTATTATTTACGTAGAATGAACATAATTAAGAATGACACCTTTTTTCCAGGTAGAAGTAATACATGATATAGAAAAAAAAATTGATTGTGGACAGATAGAAGAGCTCATTTTACAAGCAAATAAAGAATTGAAGTTGGCTAGAAGTATGTTGGAATGGAGATCTTGGGAACAACAAATTAATAAAAATTTTGATGACCAATGGTCATGGCCACCACACTCATAATATTTGAAGTTGTAATGTAGATGGAAAAGCGTGTAGTTCAAATTTTTTTTTATTCTTATGTGCAGATTACACAATAAAAGAATATCATTTCTTTTAATCTAAAATTATTCTACTTTTTATCACATAACTGTTTTTTCGTAAAGTTTAGTGTAAAATGTTAAGTAGCATTTAGAGTATCCTAATAGGAATTATTTTGTAGATTAACAAGTCTCTAATTTGTCAATTTAATATTAAGCTAACTATACACATTGGTTCAAAAAAAAAATTTTTTTTACATGATTTCGTTTGAAGAGGCTCACACACTTAAGGTAGGTTGTACATAAGGTAGGTTAACAAAAAAGTTTATGAAATCAGTTTTGTATTGAAAAGGTTATACTTATTTGTATTTATGGTTATTATGGTTATTATTTTTGTTAATTTCCTTGTCACTTAAAGTGTCATAATTAAAAAAAACATTCACACAAATATTTAAACATCACCCTCATGAAGTATTTAGTGTAACTAGTAGACTGCTTTGTGGAGATCTTTAGTACGAGCTACACATAACTAAATTTAAAGCAAAATTAGGTAAGCAGGTAGAAGAAAACGTACAAGCTAAGCAAAATTGAACTATGTACAATTAATTACTTACATGAGCCATGACTTGTGTGCTGATAGAGAAGCGTTCTATTCAGCAGCCGTGAGCTGACTGTGCTGCGTAAACACTCCATATAAGTCATTTTGTACGAAAGCTCTAGAAAATCAATATAACCAATAATAGATAGGCATAATACATCAAATTCTAGTAATATCAATCTTGGTATAAATTCAGAAATGTGTCTAGGGTATTAATTGTGATTCGACTATAAGTCCATAGAAGATAAGAAAAGTATAGGCGTAAGCAAAGTAATATATCAAATTTCGAAAGGTAAACAAATAAGCATCCGTTTTTAGATGATTACTAATAGTTTTGCATATGACTGTGAAAAATAATATTAGTTGCACTGCACCATTTAGAAAATTTTCTCTTGAAACTGCAAACTTCTGAACATGGCCTAAGAATTTTTTTTGTACTAAAATAAAATGGCAGGTTACCGCTTAACTTTTAACTACAATAACACAATGACGTTACGTCGGTTTGCATTTTTTTTTTTTTTTTTTTTTTTCAATAGCTAAAAGCCTATTTTTGTATTTAACTAGTCGTAATAATTTCACAAGCCCTATTGTTTTCACTTCAGTCAGATTGTAGTACTTGGCTGTAGAAGAGGCTTCCTCCATTAGGTATAGCCCATTTTTTCAAGTTTTAGTTGGTAATCCTTCATAACAGGACTAATTTAAGTGAAACTTTTACAGGCAGTAGAAAATAGTCCTAGGAAAAAATTTATACTTCGCCAACATATGCTTTTTACTTGAGATTTTATGCTATCCTCCGGATTAAAAATTTTTGGAGTCAAAATAATATGTGAAATCTATTAAGAATTTAAAAATGAAAAGAACGTGGCATGAAATTTTTATTTTGTTCCATGTCTATTAAGTAACTTGCAATGGAAATTTTGAGTTCTTTAGTCAAAACTGCTAAATTTTAATATTTTTTTATGTTCTACAAATAACGTTTTAGCAAAACAAAAAGTTCAAAAATCCAATTAAATGATTATAAAAAC